GGCCTCATTTGCCAGCACTGCGGTTGTGAGTGAAGTGATCCATTACGGTCTTCTGTATGATGCTACTGTTGAGACCAAGGCTACTTGTACCTGACCTGATTTTTGTCCCGGACGTGCCTCACGGAAAAGTACCGAGATCGCGTTTTTTTCTCTCGTAATAATTGTGGTCGTATGTGGACGATTATTTCTGGTTTCATTATTGATAAAATCAGTTGATTCACTCATTTGTTTGCTAACTATTCATGAGTGCAAAGTTGTGGTGTCTATTCATGATGGTCCGTAAGAAATGAATGCAGTTGTATACTTGTAATAGCGTTGTTTACGGGTACACAATTACTATTATTATTACCTGGATTACCTGGATTGGCCAGGCTATCAAACGTTTGTAACGTTGCTGGCCATAATGCTCACGTTTCCGTGCACATTTTTTTAGCCACAATTTACACCACCCCGCTGGTTAGGCGAGCAGGCCAACCGAACACAACCGAGTAATTAACCAGTTGCCATGAATACTTTGCATAATTAATCGTAGCCAAATATCAATCCAATAAATAATCATAACTCTAGTAATATAAATATTCTGCCGATCGCTCGCAGCGATTGACAGAACAACCGCTCGACGTCCAAGTAAAATTGTTATTATTATAAATTTTAATAGATGATTCAATAACCCTGAGCCATTCTTGCGATACGTGGAATACGGTAGTCGTGCGAAACGGTTTAACTGTAACATATCATCTCAATGTCAACAAATTAATCCGTAATCAATCGATCGTCATTTCAGTTGTTAATATCTGCTTTTATTGATATATTTATATATCAATAAGCACATTGTTACTATTTATTATTATTTATTGGTGATACTCTTTGAATGTGTATCAATTGTTGAGTTGTTGGAAGATGACGTCGTTTTATTCGAAGAAATCCGCGAATAATCACAAAATGAATATTAATCATTTACCAACTGAATTGCTTGTCATGATATTCGAAAGGTATTCATTAATTATTATTGTTATCGTTATAAATAAAATAGCATAATCAGTCCATATAGAGTTGTTGTAAGAATACGAAAGTATCTAGTAGATTAAAAGTTCTNAATGAATATTAATCATTTACCAACTGAATTGCTTGTCATGATATTCGAAAGGTATTCATTATTGTTATTTTTGTCATTATTATTGTTATCGTTATAGATAAAATAGCATAATCAGTCCATATAGAGTTGTTGTAAGAATACGAAAGTATCTAGTAGATTAAAAGTTCTCACTGACGATTTATTGAGACTGCTTGCTCTAAGATGCTCTAAGATTATAAGGGGTTATTGTTTCCTGCAAGATCTCTTCAGTGAGTTCTGTGCTAGGTTTCGTATAGCAGTGTAAGAAATTTCAGTAATTGAATTATAATGAAAAGAAGTAAATAGTGAAAATACTGTGTAAGTAAGTATTGCGTATGTGAAAAACGTGCATTCATGTAAGTGAAATGTAAAGACAACCAACACTGGATGCATTAATTTAATTTAACAAATGTAATATGTGAAGTAATGATGATATTAAAAACTGAAGATGTCATCCGGTGACATGTTATCGTGCACGTGCGGTTTGTCGTTATTGGCGTAAAACAATCGACGAGGTTGATGAGGAGGCACATCAAGCGATGGTCGGAGGTGGTCATGCCAGACTGTTCATTTGTGATCGTAGACGGTACTGTCATTGTGATGTTTGTCAATGCGATCACTGTTATCATGTTATCAGTGTTGCCATTTTCTTTATCATTTTTGCTATGAGTATTTTGGATTGATATTGAATTGCATGTGGTGAATGTTCAATTGTATTACAGTGCAATTCTGGAGAAGTTCACATCACCGCCATCGTGTTCGACGTCAGTTCTCGAGTTGGTATCGACACGCAAATCGATCTTTTACGAAGATCGTTATGCACACACGACACTCTCGAATTGGGCATATCGCTTCGATTTATCTGATTGGATGCAGAATTTCGATGTTGTTGAGGTTGATCTTCATTTATAATACCTGTGTTGGGTTGTTACAATGAATGTTGATATTCGATTTTTAATTCATACGTTTTAAACTGCTGATTGTTGTTGTGTTAAGGTACTGTTAGAGTGATCAAATTTTAGGTTTGGCTGCAAAATTTCGGATCGTTTCTGGAACGTGATCAGTCATCAGCATTGTTTTTACCAGCCAATATGAACTCATCATTCGATTACAATCACAGTAATAATGTAAATAACGTGTATTCATCATCAAAATCACCAGATGCAATTGGATCATCTGCGGTTAGCATTCACTCATTAATTTTATTGTCGGTGCATACATATTACGGGCTAGTGAGAAGGTGTTTGACAAGAGAAAAGTTTGAATTTGCTTACAATTAGTGCCGCAAATACTAATGAAAGTGCAAATTAAAGACGACAAGAGGGCATGTAAACGGAGCACCACCAACATCTGCAACCTCGAACAATCACGATGCTCCGAAAGATACAGTCGTGTCGAAAGCAAAACCGTATTCGACATCGTCAATATCCACATCGGAACGAGATCATGCACACAACAACAGCAATAATAACACATCGATCATTGGCACTTCATCGACATCGCTGAATCTCTCCACTCTGATTCCGTATCACCTATTGCCATCAACTCAACAATCCACTACAACACTGAATCATTGCGATGCACCACTCATTCTGAATGAGGTTCGTCTTCATTCTTTTATCTTATCACCATTATTGTGGTTATCATTATGTTTATATTGTTGATTACAGGAGATGTGTTTCGAGCTGAGCGGAATGTCAGGAGGACGATTCGAGAGACTTGCAGCACAATTGCGCCATATTCAACCGTTGCATCTCGTCTTTAATGATCACTCGTTTTATCAGAGAAGACCGACGTTACTTTTGTTTTGGTTCATCAAATTGTACGTTTATTGTCAGTGTGATTATTTATCATTAATATTCGTCAGCTGAATACATCAAATTTTGTTTTATTAATGATGATTTTATATCGTAACTGAAGTAGTAATAGAACGCGCCACTTTTAGATTGCCAAATCTACGTAAGCTGACACTGGATTGCATTCAAGGAGATGAGCAAATCGAGTTGCATCGCGTATTGAACGTTGACAACCTGGACGAATTGACCATTATTCAGCCGGTTCGTTTTGTGTATTCTGCTATCAATTTTTAAAATATCTCTATCAAGATCCTCATTCCTCAACCGCGAATCTTCCACATGAGCTTATGCAAGATTATGTTTTTTTTCTTCATTATTCACAATTAAAATTTACGATAAAGTTAATTGCTCATATATTGTTAAAGTGATCGTTTTACAAATATACGTATGAAATGATGAAACAATGCGGATTTATTCTTCAGTCGTTTGTTTTCACTCGTTGATTAATTTGAAAATGAATTGATATTTACTGTCACATTTCAGCAACAAAAAGCGTGTTTGTTGATCAATGAAAACATTCTGGATGCATTTCTGGATTCTCGTATCACTAATAATAATCATTCAACACGTAAATCGAAATTTCGTCTTCGCTTTTCGGGTAGAACACAACTTACTGCCTATTCCGTGTGCAATTTCATTAAGGTTCCTTTGTCGCTTTGTGTTTTTATTCGTCATATTATCAACTGTTTATATGTATATGTAAATAATAGTGATTTGATATTAGTAAAGACTAGAATAATAATAATAATAATAATAATAATAATAATAATAATAATAATAATAATAATAA